CCAGAATCCCCAACAGCCTTTTAGTATAATGTCTATTTCATGGGAAAGTTTATTTGGTGATTTATTTTGGAGAAGAGATGGATTACTAAGATTGGTCTGAATAAACAAACTGTTTTTTGTCAGTGTGTGGCCTTATTAATGGGAGGGAATTATGAAAATCTGGGGAGAATGAGCCTGTGTCTCATGAAGCAAGGTGAAAGATCATTACACATATGGCAGGAACTAATCACATCTCTCAGTCTCGCATTTTACAAACACAGTGTGGTTCAGATGCTGCTGCTATTGAAATCCATGCTAAAAACTCCCATTTATTTCAATGAGAGCAGGATTCATCCCTAAATGGGTTTATTTTTTGTCATTTTTTTGTTCTGTTGTTCAGTCTTTTTATTTACATCTTTTTATTTAAGAACTTGCTGTGACATTTCTGTGGTGTGGTGAATCTATTCCTACATAGCCAGATCAAACCCCTACTCAGCCCATACAGGAACTAGGACGTTCTCTTTGGCATTCTTCTGTCAGAGAGGGGGTGACATTTGTGGAAATAAGAAAGGTCCTAGCTCAAAAACCAGCCGATAAGCAGGAAGACAAGGTGAATCCTTACAGAGGCCCAGTGTCCCTGCATGGTTTCTGGATACCCATCAGATCCTCACCTTCCTGCTTCTTGGCTGTATGACTCCAAATTTGCTGCATTGACAGGGCTGCTGCAACTGGCCCCACCAGTGTTCCCTCTAATTTTTTCCACCCATATGCGGAATTAATTTTGTTATGTGCACATATGGAGGTGATGTGCATATTGGTGCACATAACAAAATTCACGTGGCGGGGTTCGGAGTGTGGGAGGGGGCTCAGGGCTGGGGCAGAGAGTTGGAGTGCAGGCTGTGGGGTGGGGCCAGGGCTGAGGGGCTCAGGGCTGGGGCACAGTGTTGGGGGTGAAGGCTCCAGCTGGGGGTGAGGGCTCTGGGGTGGGGTTGGGGATGAGTTTGGGGTGCAGTGGGGCTGCCTGGGGCTATGGTGGGGAGAGAGAGGACTCCCTCCCCCCTAGTTCTCTCTTCCCACAACAGCCCCTGGGCTGGAGGGGAGAGGCACATATCCCCCAGCCATGGCAGGTCCAGGCTGGGCTGCGTCTGTGCCAGGAGAGGGGCGCCTGTCCCCCCGGCCGCAGCAGGGCTGGGGCTGGGCTGGGTTGGGGGCGCCTGTCCCCCGGCCACAGCAGGGCCGGGCCGGGCTGGGGAGGGGCCTGGAGAGGGGTGCCTGTCTCTCAGCCGCAGCAGGTTTGGGGAGGGAGAGGGGCGCCATAGCAAGTCCGGGGCTTGCGGGGAGGCATCTCTCCCCACTGCAGCCCTGAGCGCCTGCGCAGTGCTAGAAAGGGAGGTATATAGGGCTGATCCAGGTCTCTGGATAGACATATGTATGTCTACCAGCATGGGTAGACATACATATGCTCTCTTTGCTTGATCTAGCATGCTAAATATAGCAGCATGGCTGCAGGGTCACAGGCAGTGGCCTAGGTTTACCATCCTGCCTGACCCTCCCGGGTATATACTTGGGATGAGGGTCTACCTTTTTTAAGTTTTGTGTACATATTGAGAGATGTTTATATGTAACGGGAATATAGAAAAAGTATTTTAGTAAATTACATGTCACCTGCACTTAAGTCCCAGAAATGCATCAGTGCAAATGCTTGCAGAACCGGTAAAGATTTTGGAAGCACTGGGCTTGGATCAGAGTAAACATTTTCAAACAAGTTAGTTTACATCCCAAGTCCATCAAAAATAAATAAGAAGTTCGACAGCTGGCCTACTGCCTGGTTTGCATATGATGCTCCTTGCAATGGGTTCTCAATTCAGGGCCGTGTCTCTGTTCCATACTCCTTATCTCACCCAGCATTTGATGCATGCTATATATCACATTGGTTTTTTTCAGCACTTCAGGAAGCAAAAGGTGCTTAACTCTAGTGCTTATCCTCTACTACTTTCTTACTGTATACTTGCTAGTGTATAAACCATCATTCTCCTGTCATAGTCCATCCTTAAAGAGTCATCACCATGATTAAAACTTGAACCCTGGAGTTTCATGTCTACTGAAAAATGTTCATATTGGCCCTGGAAATAGCCTTATAAATACAGTGTGTTTGGTCTTCCCTAATTTCTTTTCAGATTACAGATTTAGGATCCAATTCTCCATTGCCTTGCAAGTTTGTTGTTATTTACATCTGTGCCAAATCAATGTAAAAGTCGACCACTGGTATAAATAAGTGGAGAATTCTCATTTAGTTAGCAATTCATGCCCCATTTGCACAAGTGTAAATTACTGCATGATATGCAAGGCAGTAGAGAATCAGATCATTAATGCGCAATAGTGGAAAATCTGTTGAACCTAGTTATTGGCTTTGCATTGCTGGGCTCTAATTAGAAGGATGTAAATTGAGCATGGTCTTAAAAATACTGGCATTAAATAGGTTTATGATCTAAATCATATTCTAGTAGCCTGTAATCACTCTTTGGGCTCAGTTTGGTGCCGGAAGCAGAAAGAGATGGATATTGTAAAGAGATCCTCAAGACAGAGACAGATGATGCTTGTAGGAGAGAGAGAAATATGGAGCCCTGAAATGGAGACACAGAAACTAGATCCTAGAGGATGAGCAAGTGTTCTTATTCATGAATAACTTAGATGGAGCCCAAATTCCAACTGCTATTCATCAGCACATGTTCTTCTACATCAAACCTAACACAGAACTGGGATATGCTTAGGACGGGGAGGGAGAAAAAAAGACTGAAACTGACATTTCAGTTCAGTAAACTGAACATTTAAAAAAATAGCCTGATGAATAAAAATCTTGCGGGACTGGCATTTCTGGAAGGAATTAACTCTTCTGAAACAATTTCCTCACTATATTAGAGGCACAAATGTACTTCATTTACCATTCAATATGCATGTTTCCTTTCCCCCCTCCCCATTTGTGTTTGCTCTCTTGTAGCATGCCAGGGCAGGAAGGCAGAATTATATGGGAGAAAAGTGAGGCATATTTCTCTCCTGTTATGAGTGCTCCTTTTTAAATGTGTATGCTGCACATAGCTCAGATTTTAGAATCCTTTAAAGTGAAAGGAGGCTGTAGGTTACATTTCACCCTGTGATAAGTGCTTGTGAAACACGGCAACTATCTGGATGCTGTAACTGCAAAATGGATCCATCTTCTTTCTTAGAAATATTGAGTGAAATCCTGGTACCAGTTAGTCAATGGAAAAATTCCCATTAACTTCATGGGGCCAGGATTTCACTGGTCTAAGGCACTTATCACCTTCCTGTCTATGTATCTTATATTTGTGAGCACAATTCAACATTGGCTGGATTTGCCGGTAATTTTTTGACTAACATTGAAGAAAATATTAAAGGAAATGCATTTGCTTGAGTAGTGTGGTACAGCCTGTATTTAAAGCTTTCCAAATGCATCTTGAAACAGTGCACTTCAC